GCTTAGAATTTTTGTATATACTTTTTTTTCCTGGAAAAAAAATGTAGTTACAGTAAAACTGGTAGAGAAAGAGGGCAGGAGCTTCAATTGCCTGAAGACAGAAGAGCGCCAAGAGGAGGGTCCATTCAACAGATAGTGACCTTAGTGTTCAAAACCTTTGATCTGGGGCAAGTAAACATGCACTCAATCTTGCACCTTTTTTTTAAAAAAAAAAAAAAAGGATCCCTTATAAGACCGCTTAGAAATGCTTCATCCAAAAATATAGTTCTCATGTTTCCAGTACACAAAGCAAAAGGAACATGTTTTCCCTGGGGGCACAGGTGAAGTCCACCTGCACCCACAGGTAAAGCTGCTCCCACGCCTGCGTTCCTCACCCAGATGCTCCCAGTGTACAACAGAGCGGTGTGAGCGAGGAAAAGGCGTCTAATGCAGCACCTCAGTGTATAAGGAGACACTTCAGCGACTGTTTTCAAAGCTGTTGGGGATGGTTTTTTTCTTTTTAAGTGCTTGGAGGTGAATTCCTCAAGCACACACAGCTCCAGCAATTCTGCTGTGCCAGAGGAAAACAAAGCAGCAGATAACCGGCTCTGTACAACTCGTTACCTCGTCGCAATGGCAGCATTTTTCCAAAAAAGACTACCAAATCGAGCAAAAACAATAAAAAACATAGAGGCCCATGGGACAGTAGTGATGCCGTAGAGCTCCTGGCACGACTGAAGTGCTCAGCGCTGGTTTCAACTGAAGGACAAGGGCAGCCAACTGGGAAGGAAATGGAAAAGTGGCAATTCCCACCAACTCTCTGTTCCTCCTACGAGACACGATACGTTGGCTACTCGGCTCCTCCAGCGCCTGACAGAGGATGACAAGTCCCTGATGGGTGCTCTCATTCCCACGCTGCTACATACAACGCTTTCCCCGCTATGGGGAAAGAAACCACTGCCAACTGTGTGCAACGCCAAAAGCTCTGCATCAGGAAAGGCTGAACTGATGGGAAGGCTGCCTGGTTGCTCCCCGAGGCTGCCTGGTTGCACCCCAAACGAGCTGCCTCTCGAGGCTGAGCAACTGGCCTCCTGAATGGTCTTGAGAACCAGTCATTCAAGAGCTGCCTCTGGGCAAAAGCACAGGCCATCCTGGTGTGTGCTGTTGCAACTGTGGAAAAAGCCAAAAGGCTCTCACAGCTCTCACTCTGATGGCTGAAGAGCTGCATCCACCCATTTCCTTCGACTTTTTCAACAGTTAAGACTTCTACATGTTCATGTAGGTTAAGGGTTTTTTAATTACTACAAAAGAAAAAAAAAAGGAAAAAAGCCTTCTCAGGTTTGTGAAGGAAAATCACGCATTTTAGTAGATCCTAAAAAATAAAATTATAGCACGAGATTCAACTTGAGACACCTCTCCCAGGCCTAAGCCCTTTTCCCTCTTATTCAGAGGAGTGACCCAGCAGCAGGTAGCTCTCAACTGTAACTTCTCATGCTCTCTTGCCTCCAAGATTAACCGCTTCTCCAGAAAACTAAGCTTCTGTATTCTTGGTGACAAGACCGCAGTGTTGCCATAGCAGGAAGATCCATTTAAGGTTTGGTTTTTGGTTTTTTGTTTTTAAAAAAGAGACAATGACCAGCATCTAATACAGGCTGACAGAGGCTCCTTCTCATACATGAGCTCAGGGAACAACTCTCCCATCACAGCAGAGCCACGTGCAGCACTGCAGACCAAAGGCAAATGTTGGGAACCAATCTGTACCTGAAAAGAAGCACAATTCCAGGTTCTCTGAAGCCATTCTTTAGTCAAAACAGGCACTCCGAGAGCCAGCTGCTCGCCCAGGCTTAGCTGACAGGCATCAGATCTTCTTCCAGTTTCTGTGCCGACAAAAGTCTTTGGCCAGAGTCTGAGAAGCAGATCATCTTTACTTATTGCATATTCACCAATAGTCAGCTGCATTCAACAGACTCAAATGGATCACCCTGCACAATGACTGCTTCCTCTCCTCCACCTTAAAACCAGGTTCTGGTGTGGGTCTCGTGTTACTACTGACACAGTTTTGCTAAGCTCGACTCTCTATCCTGTGAGCCCCAGAAGCTGAGCTGCAATACGCTGACCAAGTTAAGGCATTATTTGGAGTTCTGTAACTAACCTGTGTTTGAACCTGTGGTTTGCCAACGCACACCTCTCAAAAACCTCTGAAGGACACACTTAGCCCTTTCGCTACACAGTGGTAAAAACCACCTCCCCAAACCACCCCCAGCCATCTCTAGTCTTTACAGACCGCAAAGAAAAAGAAAACAAAGAGGAATTCAAAGGCTTGGTCCTGAGTCAAGCCAAAGCAGCTTTGTAATCACAACTTTTATAGAAGGTTGGTCACTGAAGAAGGGGTCTATAGGAGGACCAATAGATTTTAACAGAGCAGAGGGAAACAGGACGGCAGAGCTAACAGAGATGACAGCCACAGCTAGAGCTAACGGAGACAACAGCCACAGCTGTGGGATGCTACCAGGCTACAGGCATAAGCAATAGAAAGAGAATATGCTTGACTGTCATCAAGTTAACAGCTTTTGAGAACACACAGCGGACACCTCAGTGCCTTTTTTCCCTAGAATTTCTCTATTGTAGGATGCAACCTTCAAACCTGATGTGCAAAGAGCACCTGTCTTCTATTTTTCTCAAAAATCAGGCAATATGGAGACTGACACATCGATTAAAACATAAGCAACTCCACATGAAGGGGAGATAGAGGAATCAAGAGTCTGTTCAGGAATGAAGCCAAAAGAGCTCTAGAGATCACAACATTTTAAGCATGATTCTCTAGGGGGTACAAAGAGGCCAGCACTCCAAAGCGGGTTATCAAGACTGCAGAAGGAGTTGCCATACATTCACAGCAGGGTTCAGTCACATGTCTCCTGTCTCCTCTTCCCTGCAAAAGTCTCAACTTTGCCAGCTTCAAGGTCCTGGCAGAACAATCCACAAGACGCACAGAGCAGCTTCCCAGCAGAGAGGCACGCTTTTCTGAAATGGCAACAGCCTGAAATAATGTCCTGCGGACAGGCAGGGAAAGCTCAAGACATGCATATTTCTTTTTGAGTTTCATTTGCTGAAGCCGTGCTGCCCATCGGCCTTTGACAACTCTCCCTCCACCTGTGAAGCTCAGCTCTGTCTCCGCACACTCACCCGAGTCCCTGAGCCGTCACCTTTGCCAGTCACCTGCCTCGGATGAGAAGCGGGGCTGTTGGCTCAAGGCCTCCAGCGTGAGGAGATGGGTGGTGTCAAAGCTCACCTTCAGATCGCTGCAAGAAAGCCCTGAGCCTGCTTGATCCCCGCCCCAGCACACGCACAGAGAGAGCAGCTTTTGTGCAAGCTTAAACGGTGAGGTGCTGGAAAAGGTTTGTGATCAGTCACAGGGACTAAACGGAGCCCCAAGTTTAGAGTTGTTCTTGCTGAGAATTCCTGACTTCGTACAGGTACCAAAGCAAAGATTCTCAGATGGCATGAAACAGCAACCTCAGCCTTTTGCTTGCAGGTACCTACCCCAACACATTCTCCATGTCTAGCTCCCCAGACAGCCAGATACCTCCAACCCTTCAAGCAACCAACCAAAAGGTGTTGCAATGGAAAGGTAGGTCCGATTTCCAAACCACTTATGTTACATATATACAAGCTTTTTAAAACTACGAACGATTAAAGAAAGTGTTGCAAATGCATCTGAGTTTTTCCTAAGCTGCTAAACCCAAAAGAGAGCATCAGAGTCCCAGAAGGACTCCAGTATCCAGACTGAGATGATACATTATTCCTCTCTGATACAGCATTAGGCAAGACCAGTACAGTATCTGAAAAAAATGCACAACAATTTCCCTACCCCTGAAAAACCCCAGAACCCAGCCCTGCAGATGAATATTCACAAGCCCTCACTGTTGGCTGCAACAAAGCTATGGATTAACTGATGTTTTTAAATATGAACAGTGAGTGGTGTTTTTACATTCATTGTTTGTCTTTCAAAAACAATCTTTTAGTATCTTTTTTTTAAAAAAAATCTTATTTTGATATCTCCTACTATATTAATTTACTGTGTCTTAAACCAGTACTACTAAAAGACAGCTACAAGGCTATATTCTTTGTCAACTGAACATGTACAAAAGGTACAGCTCTCCCTAACCAAGTACTACAGCCTGCCCTCAAATACGTACACCTCCTTTCAGAGAATTCACGTGAGATGCGAGTATCTCGCCTCTAGAATTTTTGCCTTGAGAACTGGCCGCGTTAACAGGTGAAATACACAAACCAACTCACGGACACTAATGCAAGTAACGTGCTTGCCTTCCAGAACATGTACCTCTGGAAGTCCTTCAAGTAGCGAATCCATTTTCTTCTTTCAGAAAGTCTTCATGCAAAGAATAGCTTCATTTGCGTGTCGTAATCATAAATTAAATTAAATAAGCCAGCCGTAAAGGCTAGATAAATATTAGGTTTGGACATGTTGCTATACTATTTAGAGAGCCACAGAGACCAACACACAGCACTCTCACATACACACACAAGCCTTTCCACTAGTTAGAAAGGATTTTCTCCTGCAAAAGAGGATTTGTAGAAAGAACAACGTCCAGACAAGAGGAAAGGGGAGTTAAAACCCAGCCTCCTATATGCTAATAAATAAACTGCTCTATTGCAAGATTCAGATCAAAGGTTTAAAAAGGCAAAGTTATGCTACTATTAGAGAATATCAAAATATTACTGTTATCATCACAAGTGGCATATATGCAAAATGCAGTTGCACAATAATGCCTAGGCAGAGAGAGAGCAACACTAAGTCTGCCGACTAAAAGTGAACGATATACCCATTTTAGTTTTCTGTCTAGTCTTTTGGCATCTTTGCATATGGTGCAAAAGCAGAAGCTACCAAAGAAGAATATCACATCTCGTATAGAATATTAAATAATTTCTCCAGATAAGACTGGTGCAACGCTAGCTAATTTTAAATTTGCTATGAGTAACACAGTCAAACCTAGTTAGTATGCAAGAAACTTATCTCTTAACACAGAATGCAAAGTTATGATGCAACAGCATGAACAATCCCTGGTTGTCCAGTATTCGGTATAAAGGTAGTGCATAGATCCAAGTTTCTGTTTCGGTTTGCTGAACGGAGAAGGAGTTCCCACTTCACTTTTGCTGAGCAGCCTGGAAAGCTTTCAGTTCCACCTGGTACCACTCCGGTGCTTCTGGACCGTTTTGCCCGACAGGGTTGTGATCGTATCCGTAAGCCACTGTTAATTCTTCGTCTTTCTCCACAGCCCTGATGGTACGGATACACTTGATAGGCCCAAAGCGAGGATGAACAAACCTAGACAAGAGAGAAAAAGCACTTTTGCTAGGCTTACCTATCAACACACGGCTCCTTCAGTCCCTTTTAGAGTTTCAGAAGTCACTCACAACTCAGACTAATACCACATAATCTGGTATCAGCTGAGTAGATGGCTCTGGCTCAGCCTTATAAAGACTTAAGTGATAAAGGCAAAAATACAGATGTATAAAAGCTTCTTTCTGTAGCTCTCTTATCTGAAGTTTTTCAACAGTCCTGCAACATTCCTTGTTTGTAATAAATATATAAAAGAAAGTTAATCACTGGCACGTGCCTTGGGTTAAACATCTGCATGACAGGAAAACAGTAGAGATTATGAGAGAGTGCAGAATACGAAAAATTGCTCATCTTAATTTCCTCAATACCAGACAATCATAACCTACCTCTGTACATCTTCTCCCAGGGTCCCACAGTAAAGAGAACAGGATTATTTAGTGAAGGAAAACTATTTTCTACAAATGTATCTCCACAGCTCTGTTTGTTTATACATTGGTATGAAAATATTTATACTTTTGAGCATCAGTAGCTTCCTAGTGCTCTGCACCAACTGCAAAGCAGCAAGATGCTTATTTTTTGAGTTCTGGAAATGACAGCCTATCCGATGGTGCTGGCCAAGCATCTGCAGTTCAGCAAATATAGTAGAGTCCTAGCCATGCTAGGATTTAGAGAGCTGTGCTTATGCATTTTAGAATCAAGAGGCAGATCCTACAAGTCACGATGAAATTACCACAGTTGCAAACTTCAAGGTACTCCACAGCCCAAGTCCCAAGAGATATCACACGCCCGCAATGCCAACCCGTTTCCAACTCGGCCCAGGTGAGCAGAAGCTCCTGCGGTGCCCAGACCCCCTCACTCCAAGCCGCATCGGCTGCTCCTCGTAACACCCTGTGAGCCCAGACTGCTGGGCTGCAGCTCCCACTCTGAAACACAGGGCTCTACTTACGGGTCATAGATGCAGTTAGGAGTGAAAGAATGGTTGGCCTTATGTCCCAGCGAGGCACAGTACTTGGAGGCATGGTTGTAGGGCTCTGGCACGTCTATGACTGTTTCGTCATCCAGGGATATTGTATTTCCATTGAGGGCCCAGTCTCTGCTGTCTACCTGGTTTGGAAGACAAAAATCCAGCGTGTGTGTGTGTGTGTGTGTGAAGGGGTCAGCTTTGCCAGCAGTTGGAAAGTAAACATTCAAATACAGAATCACAGAATGGTGTGGGTCGGAAGGGACGTTAAAGGTCATCTAGCTTCAACCCTCCTGCAACGTGCAGGGATGCCTACCACCAGACCAGGCTGCTCAAAGCCCTTTCCAACCCGGCCTTAAACACTTCCAGGGATGGAACATCCCCACCCTCTCTGAACAACCTGTTCCAGTGTCTAGCCACCCCCACAAGTCAAGAATTTCTTCCTAACATCTAATCTAAATCTACTCTCAGTTTTCAGTCATTACACTTTGTCCTTTCACTACACCCCTTGATAAAACTAAAGCTTTTTCCATGTGTAAGTCATTAACAAAAAACCACAATGCTACAATTTCTTCTCTATAAACACAGGTGAACACGCACTTTCTTTCAGTTAAACTCCATTATATTGAACCTTAAGGGTGGGAAGTGGGTGTAAAATCCTATTATAAGAAAATTATTTCAGAAGGAGCAATGAAAATTCAGACTGACTTTTTTCTCTCCTTTACCTCCTGATGTGTAATTCGCACTCCATTGTAAAAGGACATAACTGTACGGGCTTCTGCTGCTATTTTCGAAAATAATCCTTCTCCAGCACTGGAAATGAGAGAGACATCAACATACACCCTACAGTGGAAAAAGGGCATGGAATTAGCGACTGGCTACAGTTTTCATTTTCAAGAAGTATTACCACAACTCTACTGGCATAAAGAATAGTACTTCAATAGAATAATAAAACTAACAACAATAACTCAAAATCTCCAAATGCAACTCCTTCTCCTTCCTCTCTTCCGTATGTTCTCTGTATTTTGGCAAAACAGAGATTTGGTGGGAAGGAGGGGGACTTTATCTATTATTATTTTTTAAAAGTTCCAGTCTGCTCTTACTCTTCAATGACAGCTTCAACTCAGGAATACCCTCAATCACAAACCAGAATCCCACAAGTTCCCACTAAGCTGAGGTTGCTGGTGTGTAGCTGCACAGATTATTAGTCCACCGATCCAAAGTCTTCAGGGTGAAGCCCTATATTTTCAAGCACTTCATGCAAATTAATGCCAGCATTTTACTAATCACTTGTTCAGATATTTCAGAGCATCAGAAAAGGACTACACTTGAGATATCTACAGAGTAAGGCCTCTTAGTCCAGGTAAAAACTGTAATTGTGGAATAGCCATGGAAGAGATAGGTCACTGACTGACTATGATGAGACAATCGCTGAGGAACGTGTTTTGACATTACAGGGTTGTCACAAACAGGATTTCACTTTCCTCCAGTTTGATGATTTGCTGTTGTCACTTTGCTACATGTGTGGGGAGAAAACTTTGGACAACACGTGCCATTCAGCGAGACACAGCAAACGCAGCATGCTGCAAGCCAAAGCTAGTTACACATCTAGATAACAAGAACAGCACAATTTTTTTCTCAGAATGTTACTCGCGCCCAGGACTTGAGTGAACATGTCTTCGAAATGCTAAGACATTATGCTAGTTTAATCTCTTCAGAAGTATTGCTGTGTTCTATTGACCAGAGCGTAGTTTTATCGTGCGGAGCAGAAAGAAACTCAAACGTGGACTGATATGTTGTAATGGGTTCCATTTCACAAACTCTTACACACTTATTTTTTAGATTTTAAATGAGGAACAGTTTGCAAAATTAGGCCCTAAATATGTAACAGGAAAGAAACATGGACAATATTGAAAGAGGGGAGAAAGAAAAAAAAAAGCTTACCTCTCTGACTCATAAGGATCAGGAAGAAGTGCGTTTGTAGAAATGCAGGATGAAGTAGATTTGTCAAAACTGTATACTGGGCCTTAAAAAAAAAAAGAAATCAACGAAGGAAATAAACTAATTGGCAGTACTCAAAACATGCAACCCTTAACTTAATCAAGATATTAAAAAAATAGATTTTAATGACTGCAAAAAATAAATCTTATGCTTTGAGAAAAAGAGGTATTAAACAGGCCTGCACCTTTAAGAAGTCTTCAGTGAGATACTGTTTCTTGGTTATTTTTTTCCCGTCAACATACTACAGTAGCAGTATTATCACACAAAGCTGATATTTATGTTCTTCAAGCTACCAACTATTAAAGGAGGGCTGGATAAGTCTTTCAAAACTGACTCTCAGTCTCTAATTAAAATTAAAAAGCAAAGCTAAATTAAAAGGATATATTCAATACCACATTAATTATAAAAAAAACCTCCCTTGAACTATTTAAAATACAAAATGTTTCTAGTCCAAACCCTGAAAATCCTTCAGCCAGAACATAATGTTCGGTAATCACAAAGTACACTTTCTACAGTCATTTATTTCCTGCCATTAATAAACAACTCAGCGGTATAGCTCTAATTTTATCCTTACATCCTTCTACAATCAGCTGCCAGAAGTTTAGGCAGTTTTTGGGAGACAGGCTAAGATGCAGGTAGAAATAAGATGGGAAACAAAACCAAAACACAGTATTAAAAAGTTTGATGAAAGACCATTGCCCCCGGTGTCCAAGATCTGCTCTGTCTGAAGGCAGCTTCCTCCAGAGTGTAATTCAATCCTATTTACAAAGCACACCTGTACCCTTCCAGAACCCGTCTCCTAAGTTACGTTTTGATCTGCTACTACAACCGAGAGATTGGCAAAAATAAAAAAAGTCACAGGCATTTGCTTCCCAATGCCTTTTCACTACGTTTTATGTTCTCATTTTATGCCAAGCAAAACAGTCTCGCTGGCAACACAGCGGACGTGTTAGCGTAGTCCCTGTGTATTACTCATGGCCTTGTCCTGCAGCTTAACCCACTCACCTCCAAACCATCACACACACCTCGGAGAAACAAAACTGCTGCAAAAGCACAGGGCCAAGGCATCCCTGCCCTGGAGAAGGAACACTGGCTGCTCGGGGCTAAAGGACCACCCTTGACCTCACAGCACCTTTTTTTCTCTCAGCAGACTGAAGGCTGCGGGTGAATCAGACCGTTACACAACAACTGAATCTGGTTCACTAATTCCAATCCCTGTGTCCTTTCAGCCCCATGAACGCAGATGCCAGAACATTCACGGCGCTAAACATACACTGGCACAAAAACCAATGGACAGAGCTACGACCAAAGCACGGCCTCCCGTCCCTGCTTTTATTGACTTAACAAAACCAAAGCCTGGAGCTGTGCCAGCGTTAACACGGTCAGGCAGGTTTTTGTGCTGGCACAGACGGCGTGTGCGCAGGGCTGTGCCCGTGAGCACGCTAGGGGGGGTTTCCGAAATACAGATGAGCAGCACCATATGTGGGTCACTGCTCACTCGTTCCCTGAGCAAACGGACCGCTCGTTTCTGTCCAACTTTATAATTTAGCAAAAGAGCTTCTTGCCAACACATTTATCCTCTCACTGCAGCCAGCCTTTGGAGTCTCTAATGGAGAACATTGCTGCAAACAGCTTGATTTCTGTGAAGAGGTGGTAACAAGTATACATGTTTCTGTGTTAGCTGAACTTACTGCCTGGTACTACTTCAAACTGAGGTTTCCCATCCTCTACAGATGTCAGAGTTGCCAGTTTTGCTTCTATCATTTCTCCATCTATGAACCTTCCGGAATATGCAGTCTTTCCATCGGGGTACACATAGGCTATTTTCTCTCCTGTCATCTCCCCTTCTTCATTCACTTCTCCCACAAGACTGCCTCCATCCTGAAAGCACGGGCAAGAAAAAGCAGAGCGTTTAGTTATATTTTAGTATCTTCAATAAATGAAAAAGGGTTTTCCCAACTTTTTAAAGAAGCAATCTAAGCTACAGTAAGTTCAGATGTGAGATCATGAAAACGAGTGAGAAACAGACACATGAAGAAGCTGGGTGAGGTCATTCCACCCAGGACAAACCCACTAAAAGAAATGAACGGTGTTTTCTATGTTGTTTGAAATAGGTAAAGCCCAAGGTCTTTCCTTGCACGTGACACAAATACTGAGTTTGAATGGGCAAAATTATGTGAACAGTCTGGCAACCAAGGCTCAAAGACAAACACAAACTTAATTTGAGTTTTCTTAGTATGACGCTGTGCTGGAGGAAATAAAAAATTAAAACGCTGCCTTGCTCACTGCTAATTCATGGTACATCAAATGAGCCTATTTAAAAAAAAAAGAAAAAAATTTGCTGGACAACTGGAGAGTTTCTCTGTCCCAGCACTCCCCTACTATGTCAGGTGGTACTCAGTGGGAACAACTGTATGCTGAAAGCCATCATCAGCAACACTTTTCCTCTCTAATGTTGACACATTTTAGCCCTAAGCTTTGCCATCTGTGATTTGCCTGCAACTCCAGTTAGGTCTATTTACAGAATTGCAGAATGAGATGCATAGATTAGCACAGGTCTAGCAACTTCAGCTGTTTATTTCAAAAAGGACAAGGAAACCTCTTAAAATAATGCCCTGGAGCAAAACCAGCAGGTGTGACATGGAAAAAGACTGATTTAGATCAAGATCGCTGCGCACAGGCTCTACTTCAGAGCGGCACCATTTTGTTCCACTCCAAGGATGAAAGAGCTTCAAATATACTGTAGTAAGAAACAGTGAACCTTAAGTGTGGTTAAAAATTTGTGCACATAGCATCATGCACAGAACCATGAATAAACAATCACTTCCATGGCAAGAGTGCGTCATGGTTTGGTTTTTTTTTGAAACACCTTGCATCCTTTAGTCTGGCAAGATGATCAACAATCTCTAAACATCCACACGTCCAGAAGGTACGTCAACACTTTGTCAGCTGCAAAATGAAACAGGATGCATATGACCTGAAGGGTCAGCTGTATTTTATACAGTACTACCGAAAAAGTGCTAGCTGTTTGGCAGCATAGACCCAGTGCTGGTTGATCCTAACACATGCGTAATGGCAATAGCGAAAACCAGTAAATAAAATGCACAACGGTGGGCATTTGAAATTAATCTGCAGCTAAAGTGTGTGCAATATGTAGCACAGAAAGAGACTGGGTTTTGACTAGCAGTTTAAATACATGCACATGCTTCCGCCTCCTCAGCACAAGGTAACGACTGAACAGTTCAACTCTGGAGTACTGTGTAAGGCTGAATAGGAATTAAAATATAAAAAATTTACATTATAAAACCCCACAGAACTAATAAAACCATTATTGCCCTAACCTGCATAGTTATAAAAGCACATCAAAAATTTCTCCAGAGCTTTCCAGAGGAATATCGGAGTGTTTACCAGGAATCAGAAAGATACAATTTTGGTTTGCTTAATGAGCAAAGCACTTGTCCACACTCCAGTCACAGGCACAGTTACATTTGATTTATCAAGTGAAGCCAGGCTTCACAACATACCCTGCAGACACAAAGTCTTCCCTCCTAGTTAATTAAGAGCAGCAGGTTGCAATAGCTTGCATTGCTCCCATGCTCCTCATCTGCCGTCAGTGTGGCAAAATCACTGGCCCAGCCATCCCAAGGAGACACACGTAAAAGCACTTCCAAGGGGCTGGGTACCTTGGAAGATGAAAATAGTGGAGGCATCTCACCGTCTTGCTGAATCGTGCCTACTGGGCAAACACTGAACAGTGAATAGGTTTATCCGTATGCTGGATGATAATCCAGTCAGGATGCACAGATCTTCCACACTCAGATTCGTGTGTGTTGTCTTTTGGATAGCTGGGTCGTGATGGATGTTTGTTTCAGCCAGGGAGAAAAGAAAGACACATAACGGTTCTATTCTGCAATAAAGAGAGCAAGCGGTCAGGCTTACCGGGTAATAAATCCAACAAACTCCATGTCGAATATTGTCTTTATATTGCCCTTTGAATATCAGCCGCCCATCACTGTCATACTCCTGGGCTGGTCCGTTCAGCTCTCCATCCACGTACGTGCCATGAAGGACCACTCCATCCTCGTATGTGTAGATTCCCTGGCCTTGCAGGGCATCATCAACGTAGTACCCTTCCAGGGTGCTGGCAGAGAGAGAAAGAAAACAGCTGTGGAAGACTATTCACCTCTTCTGAGAGGTGAATCCAAAGGCTCAACATGAGGCACAGCGCAATCCTACTTCTCTGCTCATCTTTCTATGTATTATTGGTACCAAAAGGCTGAGGGGAAACCTTCAAGAAAGTCAAGTGCTAGGAGGAAGTAACTGTTGGCACCTGGTCTGCTATTGCTGAGTACCCTAAAACCGTCCCCGAAACACACACCAGCATCATAACCGCCACAGCTTTTCTTGATTTTCTCAGTGGCCTCTCCCCTTCTCTGGAAGATCTCCCTTTTTCTAGGGACCACCAAAGGCAGAGAACAGCTTAGGCTGTCCTGTCACTGGGGTGCGCTGCATGGGCATGGCATCGGTCTTCTAAATTACGTTGCTGAGTTGTTTTTTCCTATAGGCTGGAGCGGCAAATTACAGCAGTGAATGGACACTCATAGTCAAAGATGAAATTATTGCTCAGGCAGGCAACCCTCACGTCAGGATCTTCTACCTCCTACATTTGGATCTTCTACTGGCAACTCTCTGGTGAGATGAAACTGAACTGCCACACAGGTGGACCACGACAGGGCAGGAACTCCAGCCTGTGACCAATTCAGTGTCAGCTCAGCAGCGACTTGCACCGGATTTGCTAAAAGCACTGTAATTTTTCATGTACTTCCATAAAATAGAACGCAGCCTATCACACAGAACTAGTGCTGTTCTTGGATTTGAACAAAGAAACATTTCACTTCAGTTTTGCCCTGCAAGCCCTTTAGACGGGGCACAGTACTATCTTGCAATCTGCTTTGTTTACTCGCTTAAAAAAAACACGCTGCTGAGAGAAACTACCAAGAATTAAAGCAAAACTGTAAAAGAGGATCTACTAAGTTATTTCTTTCTCAGGTTAGAACTAGCATAAGGAATACAAACTGGTTAGCTTTTATTTTAGCAAACCGTAAGCTGCAGTACATACAGTTTCCCTGCAAAATTCTTTTCCTGATGCAGGTGTGTGGGAGCCCATGACTCTACACGGTTTACAAAACTTTACAAAACAGATTTTCAAGAGTTGCGGAAGGAATGTTTTCTCAGAATTTACTTTCTGGTTTCTAAAGCTTCACTCTCTGTTTTTTGCATAACTCTGACAAGCTGGCTGAGGTTTCCATGGGAAAATACACTACAGTAAAAGCCTCAATGCAAACCAGATGCATCTAGGATATCCACTACCTAAAAAATCAACCAGTGAAATCGTTGAGGGGGAGGGGATGCTCACTGCAATATCCTTAGAGGTATTAAAAAGTTGCGCCGATAGACCCTGATCCACTCATCCCTCACTCCTTGATCTCCCGCTTTTCCCTCTACATGGGAGCATTGAAAACTTGTTCTTAAAAATAATACCGGTCTCTGCTGTGCTCTGGGAGATTACGAGTTTCTGGTTACCGGAGAACAGCAGCTGCAACTCTGTGCCAAACACGGCTCTCATGCTCACAGTTGTTGCGCAAAATGTTTTATAAAGTACACTCCAGTAAGCATTAACACCAGCGAAAGCTCCAGTACACTACCCAAAACTGGGAGTACACCAGAGGTGAAACGTCCCTCTCTGACAGAATACATAGAATACGTTGGGTTTTATTGCATTTTTGAAGGGGGAGGAAAAAACAACTGGTATTTCATTCCATGTTTCCACTCGCTCAAAATAATTAACAGGAAGGGAGTAGTTATTCCAGTCAAGGGAAAAGTTTTCACCGAGGTGAATGAGGCAGCCAGGCAGCCAACCTGATTTCCCAACACTGAAAAAATGAGAACGCTTACGCTGCTGCCAGTCCAGCATCTGACAGGACTCAACTATTCCCGAACAACAGACCTACGGCAGCTCAGCTGCCAGCAGTCTGTGAGGGGAACAGATCCAGGAAAGCCGAAACCAGCTCACTCACCGCACCAAAACA